ATTATAGGATTTTTAAAGATACCAAGTTGAAAAGTACCCTTCCACTTGGAGATTACTAAAAGTTGTTATTATTAACAGTTATTTTTCTCTGCATCGATTGTTTTTCTGCATCTATTGATCACATTTATTCACTTTTATTCTGGGAAAGAGATTTATAAATTTTCTAAAATACCATTTTGCATTCCTGCAATAAATAGTACTTGGTCAGTGTGTTACGTTCGGTTTGCTTCTGCATATATATTGACAAAATGGGACTATAACCTTCCTTTCTCGTACTGTCCCAATCTAGTTTTACCATCAAGATTACATTGGTTTTTGATGTAGGAGATACATCTTATTCTTTTCCCTGGAAGACCTTACGTAAGATTAGAAAAACCCATTCTTTAAAGTTTCATAAAACCACCTATGCTTAAGAGTTTTTTTTGTGTGTGTGTGTTAAGATTTTTAACTTATTTTCCTTTAGTAATAATAGTACTGTTCAGGCTTCTGTTTGTTCTTAATCAAAACATTTTTCTAGGAACTTTTCCCTTTTGCCTGGATTTTTCTATGTACTGGTGTGTTGTTCATAATACTCACCCGTTTGATATCTGCAGTATCTGAATGGCATGCCCATTTTCATTCCTGATGTGGGTTATTTGTGCATTTTTGCCCCCAGGGTAAATTTTGACAAAAAGTTTTGTCTATTTTGTTCATCTTTTCAGAGTTAACTGATAGCTTTGTTAATTCGCTACTGTATTGTTTTTTTATTTCCGCTCTTATCTCCATCTTTATCTTGTTCTTCTGTTAACTTCAATTGGACACTTAACTCATCTAAAAAATGTAATTAAGCTACAAAATTTCCCTTGAAGCACTACTTTCCCTGCAACTGTATAAATTTTGCCATTAATTAGTCAGCTCTTAGCACTTTAGAATTTCAATTACTTTTTCTTGTATCTCTTAGAGGACTCAATTGTTAGTAACCATTATGTATACCCATCTCTATCCCAACCAAGTTACTGTCTTAATGTCTATCTTGTCTGATAATAGTATAACAACACTAGCTTTCTTTTGGTACTTTCTTGGTATCTTTTCCCCATTCTTTTGCCTCAACCTTTCCATGCATGCCCTTAGGCTTTCTCTATAATTATCATATAGTTAAATCAAATTTGCCTATCTTTTCACTGGTGAGTTTGCCTCACCATCTTAAACTTTTGTTTTTAAAAACTTTTAATGATAAAATGCTCATTATGTAACATAAGAATATAAAACTATACTTATGGTTTCATTAATTTTTTTTCTTTTTAGCCATTCACTGCTATTTTTTTAAATTGAAGTATAACATACAATATCCTATTGGTTTCAGGTATATATCATAGTGATTTCAGTATTTTTATACATTACAAAATGATCCCCATAGTCTAGTTACCGCCTGTCACCAAAATTATTACATTATTTACTATATTCCCTATGTTGTACATTACATCCCCATGACTTACTTATAACTGGAAGTTTGTACCTCTTAAGCCCCTTCAACTATTTCGCCTGCCCCCTTGCCCCTCTCCTCTCTAGTAAATAAGTTTGTTTCCTGTATCTGAGTCTGTTTCTGTTTCATTTGTTCATTTTTTTAGCTTCTAAATATGTAAATGAAATCATATGGTATTTGTCTCTGACACTTAGGATAACAACCCTCTAGGTCCATACATCTTGTCATAAATGGCAAAACTTCAGTCTTTTTTATGGCTAACAACCACTGTTTATACACACAAATATTGGTGTCTTTAATGTGTGTGTGTGTGTGTGTGTATGTACATATATATATGTGTGTGTGTGTATGTGTATATACACACACACATACACACACACACACCTTTATCCATTCATCTATCAATGGACAACTTGATTGCTTCCATACTTTGGCCATTGTAAATAATGCTACAATAAACATAAGGAAGCATCTCTCTTCAAATTGACAGTTTTCTTCTGATAAATATACCCGAAGTGGAATTGCTAGATAATAATACGATAGCTTTTTTTTTTTTTTAAAGAAGCCTCCATACTGCTTTCTACAGTGGCTGTAACAATTTCTATTCTCAGCAACAGTGTACGAGTGTTCCCATTTCTCCACCACTTGTTACTTCTTGGCTTTTTGATAGTAGCCCAATCAGACAGGTGTGAGGTGATCCCTTATTGTGGTTTTTTATTTGCATTTCCCTGATGATTACTGATGTTGAGCATCTTTTCATGTGCTTATTGGCCATCTGTACATCTTCTTTGGGAAAATGTCTATTCAAGTCCTCTGCCATTTTTAATTGGGTTGTTTTTTGATATTAAGTTGTATAAGTTCTTTACATATTTTGGATGTTAACCTCTTATCAAATATCTGATTTATAAATATCTTCTCCTATTTAGAAGTTTGACTTTTTGTTTTGTTGATAGTTTGCTTCATAGTGCAAAAGTTTTTTAGTTGGACTTAATTCCATTTGTTTCTTTTACTTTTGTTACTTTTGCCTGAGGAGAGTGGTCCAAACAAATAATGCCAAGACCGTGTAATAAACTGGTCCAGTTTCATTCTTTTACATGTAGCTGTCCACTTTTCCTAACACCATTTATTAAAGAAACTTGTCTTTTCTTCATTGTATATTCTTGCCTCCTTTGTCATAAATTGAGCATATATGTGTGAATTTATTTCTGGGATCTCGGTTCTATGCAATTGATTTATGTGTCTGTTTTCATGCCAGTACTATTCTGTTTTGATTAGTATGCTCTGTAGTGGTTTCACATTAGGGAGCATGGTAACTCCAACTCTGTTCTTTCTCAAGATTGCTTTGGCTATTGGGGTCTTTTAGGGTTCCATACAATTTTAGAATTCTTTGTTCTAGTACTGTGAAAAATGCCATTGGTACTTTGATGGGAATTTTACTTAATCTGTAGGTTGCTTTGGGTTCTATGGACATTTTAACAATATTAATTCTTCCAATCCATGAGCATGGTGTGTCTTTCCATTTATTTGTCTTCTTCATCTACTTTCATCAATGTCTTATAGTTTTCAGAGTACAGGTCTTTCACCTCCTCAGTTAACATTTATCCCTAGGTATTTTGTTCTTTTTGATACAATTGTAAAAGGGATTGTTTTCTTAATTTCTCTTTCTGCTAGTTCATTATCAGTACACAGAAATGCAACAGGTTTTTCTATATTGATTTTGTATCCTGGAACTTTACTGAATTTGTTAATTCTAATAGTTTTCTGGTGGAGTCTTTAGTGTTTTCAATATACAGTATCTGCAAATAGTGACAACTTAACTTCTTACCAGTTTGGATGCCTTTTATTTATTTTTCTTGCCTAACTGCTGTAGCTAGAACTTCCAATATTGGTTGGAATAGGTTGGAAAAAAGTAGTGACAGTGGGTATCCTTGTTTTGTTCCTGATCTTAGAGAAAAAGTTTCAGCTTTTACCATTCAGTATGATGTTAGCTGTGGTTTGTCACATGCAGCCTTTATTATGATGAGGTATGTTCCTTCTATACCTACTATGTTGAGAGTTTTTTAACATAAATGGACATTGAATTTTCAAATGCTCTTCCTGCATTTATTAAGATGATCATATGATATTGTTTTGTTAATGTGGTATATCATGATTCATTTACAGATGATGAAGCATCTTTGCATCCCTGGAGTAAATCCTACTTGATTGTGGTATATGATTCTTTTAATTGGCCACCATCTTATTATTTTGTTTCTATATCAATTTGTTTCTCTACTTGAGCTTTTTCCTCTTTTACTTTTGATATCTCTTCCATCTAACAATACAAGAACTTTAATACATCCTTATACTTTCTGATCTTCTTCCATTCCATTGAAATTGTAAAGAATTTTACTTTCAGATTGTGATGGATATTCTTTCTGTTCTTTTTCTTTTTTTTAAGTCATCAACAAACTTTCCCAAAGCATATGATCACTATTCTTCCTAAATCTCTCATAGCATCTTCTAGATTTCTTTCTCTTTTAATAAGTATTTTCTCAAAAAGTGTTTTAAATTTGTCTATTTGTGTGGTCAATCTGTGGAAGCATACAAAAACCTGAGAACATTTTTATTTTTCCCTCACATTAGAGTAACTATTTGTCAGGACATAAATTTCTAGTTTCAAAGTTCTTTTTACATTCAACTTCAGATTCTTGAGCTGGGCATAGTAATGATGGTTTATATTATGCTATACACCATTCTCCAATGTCCTTTTGTCTGTAGACTCCCATCCATCCTAGTGACTGAGTCTTCTACAGGCACCTGACCAAATTTTTGAGACAGGATAGAAAACAATGCCATCTTCAGAAAACCAGCTCCCTTGTACACTGCTGCCATGAAATGAACTGGCTCAACTTTTTAGAGGGCAACCTGGCAATGCAGATCAAATATTTTTAAATGCACATATACTCTGCTTTCACAATTTTACTTCTGGGCATCTACATGAAGGAAATAACAATATTCAAGGAAGTATGCAAAGAAGAATAACTCATTGCAGGTTCATGATATGAAGACAATTTAAAACAACCTAATCTCCAAACATAATTAGTTAAATTATGTTAACATTCTATAGTCAAAACCTTAGAGTGATTAAGATATGTAGAAAAAAATTCAGGTCAAAAAAATGGTAAGAAAGTCTACTCTTTGTTTCAGAAACATTCACTTTAGGGAGAAAATACATGAAAGCAAAAAGGCTACTTTTCAAAAATACTAACAATAGCTTTCTTCAGATAAAGAGATTAAAGTGGTTTCTCATTTCTTCTTTTTGCTTTCATTAAATAAAATCCATTAAATAAAATTCAAAAAAAAGCTTTTTTGAAGCTCCATACATATAAAACAGACACAATTAGAACCACTCTGGTGGAGGGACAGAAGTTGAGCCCGTCCACTCAGCCTTCTTCTTTGCTTTTCATGGGCTGCTATGCAGTTTGGAAACTACAGTTCAGTACATTCACCTTACCTTATATGCCATGTCAGCGCTAGAAGAGAAAGCAAAAACACATTCAATCTAACATTTCTTTATTTAGCTTTTTTTTTTGCAACTATAAATTACAATCACTAGTACACCTGTAATTCTTCAGTGTGTACAACTAAAGAATATGCACACACAGCATAGGTCGATTTAAAAGAAAACACAGTACTTTTTAGTGTAATTTGCAAATGAGGGAAAAAGTCTTGGGCCCACTCCTTGGAGATAAATATCAAGTAACCATAAAAATATTCAGCCATTTTCCAGGTATTCAGGGAGGTTCATGCATGGTCCCAGGTAGAGCATTAGAGTTCCTCTTTGAAATATCCCAGCTTTGCCAATGACATCTCTTTTCTCAACTGCATAACTTCCCAAAACATCTGATCAACTATACAAACAGAAAGGAGAGAGATAAATTCATGAAATACCACCTTAATTATTTCTATCAGTTTCACCAAAAATTTAAGATTAGCTGAAATGCCAATAGGGTATTTCCTAATGATGTACCTAATGCTTCAACCATTTTTTTGCTATTTCACACAAACTTTTTCCTGTATTTGTGAGCATCAATAATTGTGAACATCAAAAAAGTGCTGTTTTTATCAGTAAAAAAGCAATATTCCCCAGTTTTGCCACATTATTTGTTAGATACGTCAACTATCACTTTAGCTCAAACTGTCTCCAAATGCCCTCTTCATAGGTAATTACACTCAGTGCTCAATTATTCAAGAATTACTATCTAACCTAATGGATCTTCTTGCTCTAGTTTGCTGCATCTTGGCCATTTCACTGTTTATTAACACTACCAGAGAGTAAACAAGAAAAAAAGGAAAATGAGAGACACTCCAGAGAACTCAGTAACATTCTTTGTGAGTAATAACAGGGAAAGGCCTTGTGTATGACTCAAATTAGAAATAAAAAATAAATTTAGAAGATGATCTGTAAATTTAAGTTATCTCTACTTTTCCAAGCCCCCTTTCAAATGGGAACCAGCTGGCTCTATATTTCAGACAAAAAGGTCTTCCTCTGACATATGAACAGATTAGATACAGATCAGTGGTCCTCAATCAGTGGAGATTTTGTTGCAAAGGTACATTTGGCAATGTCTGGATACATTATTTTTTCATCACTGCCATCTTCTGAGTGAAGTCCAGGGATGCCACCAGACACCTTACAACGCACAAGGTAGTCCCCTCCACAAAGAATTACCCAGTTCAGAACAGTAATGGTACTAAGGCTGAGAACTCTGCTTTAGATCTAACTGCCCTAAATCCTTTTTGGCACAAGGCACAGATAATAAACAGATTTTAAAAGTAATAGTATGTATTTACTACAAACCCACACAGTATATGATGTGTACAAAGTACTGTTAAGTGGAACAGTGATAGAAACCAGAGAAGATTCCACTTTTATCACCATCACCCCTACTATCATCATGATAGTTTTTTTCCATTTCCACAGAGTAAATTACCTTTCAGTCTTCACTACAAAAACTTATTTTAACCAGGAGAAAAAAATACACCTGAAAATTTAATACAAACCATCTGTTCTCCAGTCAAATCCTATCATCCACGAATAGGTATTCAAAAGGTTTCAATTTTACTAAAGTCATAAAAAGTATTGTACAGTCCAGGATGAAACCTAATCTGAGTGCACATCTACAGATGATAAATGCAGGAAAAAGAAAAAAGAAAGACTGCTTGTATACTACACAGCCTTTCAAAATTCAACATTAATTAGAGGGGGGGTTTTACCCCCAATTCTTTTAGCCATTAAAATATAATCATATGGGATTCTAAATAAATACGACTTTTCAATATAGCAGAGCTTGAGAAATGCTAAACTAAGTTTCCATCAGCATGACTGATTTTTCCATAGACTTAAGATTCACTGGTTTACATGACTGAAAGATACTGGACTTCTGTTAGTTTTCAAGTATGAGAATATTTTGAGTGCCTAAAAGAAACAAACAGGAAAATTTCCCACAATTTCAAATACAAAACGGGCATAGACTTACACCTAGCCCAATATCTGCTATTTCTGTTTTAAAACAATCATGGGTACTCAAGAAACATTGCTTCAGAGCCATCAGGTCAGACTGGGTTTTATGTCTGGTATTTACAACATTTGCTATAAAACCGTAGGTAACCATAAAAGACTATAATACAAATACTAAAATACTTGCATGAGGTTGGCTTTCCTGGATATATAACCTGCATGTTTCTACTGATTTAGAATATCATAATCTTTATTCCATTTAGAATTATCCTCATTATTAATTCACATGTGAAAGTACAAAATACAGAAAGAAACATTGTTAGCTCCCCATGGTTTCCATTGATTAAGATGAATCTGGCTACTCCCTTCATATTTACCATCTGGTTTACCAGATACCCCTTAAGAGTTAAAACTGATCCCGTTGAAAACTCAAAATTAGAGTAAAATACGGCAAACATAAGGATTAAACACAATGCTTTAAAAGAGACATTTGTTCCCAAATTCTCCACATTTTACTAGAACTATTAAAAGAGATCCAATATAATAATAAAGTCTATTTGAGCATTACTACTGTGTTCTATACTTTCTACTGAACTTCTACATAACTATTTTATAATACATTAAGAACACTCACCATCCTGCTGTTTCACAAGTCCCTGCTGAATGTACCGAATGTATGTAAAAAAGTTACACACAGAAGTGATCTAGGCCAAAAGGAAAAAAAATGTCATGAGTAGTTAAATGTCTCCTATTAAACTGAGCTCTGTGGAAATTCATGACCAAGTTACTTACCCTGTATCTGCAAAAAGGAGAAATATAATAATAGTTGCTTGAGTCCCCTAATTTAATTCTGTGTTTACAGGACTTACTCTGGCCAGTGAGAGCGCATTTTCTGTAAAATAATGGTTAAGCTTTAGTTTTTTTAAATTAAAAGCAGTTGCCTCTAACTTCTGTACAAGTTTTATACTCATGAGGACAAGTATTTGAGAGCCTGCTAGGTACCAGGCACTGTCCCAGACGCTGGGCTACAGTAATGGGAAGACAAAGTCCCTGCCATCTAGGAGCTTACATACTAGCTTAAGTTTGATAACCTAACTTTAGCCATGGTTCTAGAAACAGAAACTAAATGTTCCAAACAGATGTTCCTATTTTGGAGCAAATTTACACCTGAATAATCAGCTGCAGGGCAGCTCTCAGCTTTCCAGAAGGACTTCAACTTCTTTCTCACCCCCAAAAAAATTTAATGATGATGATTCAAGTCTAAAAACATATTACTGACAGCTTGCAGGACTGCAGCTTCCAATGGGGCACTTCCTGGTGTGTTGTGTTGGCTTACATGCATGGTAGTAGGCCTAAGAAATATAAATGAATAAGCCCCCTTAACAAAACTAGGACCCTTAACAATTACATAAAGGGTATGCTAATTTAGACATACCTTCCTTTTCATTTGCACACTATAAAATCTAAAATTCGGTATGAGGGCTTTCTGTTTGGAAACAGGCCATAAGCCTCCTTAGGGCAGGGACCTTATTCATCTTCAAATGCCTGGCACCATGCTTGTGCCTGTCATACAGCAGATACTCGGTGACTGCTGGTTAAGGGATGGGCTGGCTACGTGTCTCTCAACTGCTTAATAGGATGAACCTGGCTTGTCTGTCAGGCTGGACCTGCTGCAGCCCAGCTGCCACCCTGCGAAGTTAGGGACTTGGCTGAATACAACTGCCACTCCTGTCCGCGCAGTCAGTGCTGCTCTAATAGTGGCCAACAGCATTTTGTATGATACTATAAATTACAAAAAAAACATATTACACGAGCATTAAATTTCAACTATACTTACAAGAAATAGGATACAAATATGACTCCAAGTTAAACACATGAAGAATGTGTACTTAAAGTAGGATAGTTTTGGAGGTGGCCATTTCAGTCACAAAAGAATTTTTATCTTTTCAAAGAAATTTTATCTCATTGTTTATTAGCAAAGTTCTTTAATGACCTATAACAATATTTTTTAAACACTAAACAACTAGCTTGGGGAGGATAAAAAATCAAGAAATTTAAGGAACAAGTGTTGGAAGACCTTGGAACTTCCAAAAGTCGAATTTACACAGGAAGAAAAAGTACTGCCAATTGATAAAAATCAATTCATACACTATTCTACCCAGAAACAGACATAAACCTGTTTGTTTACTATTTTATCTAATTTTGAAAGGGCTCTGCCAGATCTTGTACCAACCTTTAAATTAATAAAAAAGTGTTTCTTCAGTTATCTCATTTCTAAAGCCATCTGTGAGCTGTCACAACTAATATACTTTTATTTGAGTTAGGATTCAGTACCAGACCTTCTGACCTCTAAGACCAATCTTTTATTAATGTGCTACACTACCTCAATCTCTCTTAACAGCCCTAGTCCCAAGATCTCAAATCCTTGCTTCCATTTTCACTTGGCGATGTCAACATGTCTAAATCTAAACCTACCATCTTCTTCCCAAAACCAGAGCCTTTCCCTGAATTCCCAGATGTCACATCATTCTTCCAATCACCTCCGGCTCTTTTCTGTTCCCATTCTCTCACCTGAATGTAATTTTTCTTCCTAAGACTTGTCACATCTTACCTCTCCATATGCTCATTATCCTCTCAACATACTGTTTTCTTGTTTCTAAGCCTTGAATCATACATACTGTTCTTTATTCAAATTCCACTCCTTCTTCTAAAACCCAGATCAAATCTCTCTCCCTCCAAGAATAGATGAATCACCACCACTGAACTGATCTTACTTTCCTCAAAATTCCCATAGTACTGTGCCGTTCGTTTAGTGATTACCTAGGATGCCCTGCCTGGGGCCATACTTTATATTTCATAAAAGAGGACAGTATCTTCCTTACGGTTTTACCACTTGCACACAAACACCTTAGCATCTGACCCCATTTCCACAAGCACAATATCCTTAAACTATGTAAATGGTCCCTCTATACAGTTACTTTACTAAAGTACTATAAATCCACTTTAACTGGTATCTTCATTTCCAGCATTTGATATTTGCACATGTACAACATGTGTAAAGTAATATGCAAGCACAAATTTAAAATTCTACAATAAAAACTGATACATGCTATTTTCGAAAAAATAAGGTATAAGACCTTAAAACTGCTGTGATGAATGATCAGGATAAAACCACTCAGGCATTTGTTGAAGGAGAATTTAGGAATGTAAATCCCTTCCCCCAAAGTCAGAGACCCCTGTGCTATGTGTGTGGCATGAGGGAGTGTAAAGCAGGACACAACTCTAGGCAGGCGTGTGGCTTAGAGAGCAAATATGTGAGTAGGCACCCTCCACAAACAGTTACCCGAATACTACCACTGTGTGATCCTGCTCAGAACGTAACGTGCACAACAGGGAACAGAGGACCACACAACTCCTCAAACAGGCTTTAACACAGGCCTGTTACATCGATTTAAAACGACTGTGACAGAAGCTGACTACTGCTTTCTATGGGCTCTCTTGGGCTCTCTGGTCCCCATATTGATCTCGTTCTTAACCACGAACTAAGCAGCTTCCTCAAAATCTTTCCAAGTTACTTTTTAAATAGCTGTGCTAAAGATTTTTAGGTACTAATGGTTTCAGTCTTTCCTCCTTATAAGACTGGATAGAATAGCCTGCTCTACTATGAAATGTGGCAATCTTACCTCTGAAAGCTTATAATTACCAAATATCTTTCATAAATGGAAGACAGAACTATTTGCCAAAGTGACAATCCTTTACACCAGTTGAAAGGGGAGGAATATTCAAGTCTTCCAGTACCCTGTTTTCATGCTTGAACAGACTTGGTCTAATTCACTGTCTTGCCAAACTATTTTTGATGGCAACTCTCAGGAAGAAATATTTAATACCGAAACCCAGTACACACAGCTATACATATATGCCTAACAAACAGAAACTCTGCTTACGAATTTCACTAAACCAATTTCATGATCAATTAATGGGTCACAATGTGATCAGAAAAAGTTTCCAATACCTGGTCTTCCATGTATGTATATTTTTATGATTAAAAGTGCTCTCCTTTGATGTTGACTTTGAAATGCTGTATCCCACACTGGGGATGCAGACTCTTAAGCAGAAAACTGACGAGAAATACAACCACATTAAAAAATTTAAAAACTAAGTAACTACAACACATAACATTTTTAAAACTATATTCCACAAGACATGGTTGAAAACATACTTTGGTCCCCCACACTCAACGGCAGAAGCTTTCACAAATCGAATAGGCTGTAATCCCACTGGTTCAATGCTTAAGGTGTTGTTTTCCACAGCCTCCAGAACAGCTGAAGCCAACTTGAAAAAAATGAAAAACATTAGATGGAGTACTAGCAGAGAAGTATTAAACCTCTATTCTACAGTAAAGTGATTTTTCAAACTATTCTTTTCCCAAGTTCCACTAGCTTGGCCTTAGCCAATGAAAAAGAAATTATATAATCTTGGCTTGAATTCTTTTATAATTCAAACAATGTTATGAAAGACAGTTCAGTTATAGCCAAAATTTTTTCTCATTATCTAGAAGACAATTAAAGACATTAATTCCAGCTTCTGTCCACCTCTTACCCACAATTAATATCCTCTGTTAATGCCACTTCAAAATGAATATCCTAATATTTTATTTTGCTAAATATATGCTTATTTTAAAATACTGGTCATCATAACATAGCAATATATACTAATTATAGTCATATATTTTCTGAACTTCTATTTATGTGCACTAGAGTGAATCTACAAAATGATTAGCTGAATTATCAAGTATTAAATGCCCAGATGGAGATGGGAGCAATTGATAAACAATAGACAAAACCATCAAACTTCTTCAGTCTGGCAAGATTACTGATACAGAATGGCCACCTAAAGCCAGGGACAGAGCCACAGTGCATAATACAGCTACACATCAAGTGTTTTACTGTTCATCTTAACTTCTCCTTATAAGTAATGTTATAATTAAAACCTCTGAAGACTTAATATATTAAGACTCTTAGCATTAAATTTCTTGAACACTGATTGACAGGACACTTGTAGACAAACTTCTATGTAAAAACAATATATATAAAAAGTTTTTGTATGTAATTCATTATCTTCATTTATCCTTTTAACAACCTTGTGATATAGGGAAGGGAGGAACTTTTTCCTGTTTTAAAGATGAAGAAACTACCTATGATTTTTTAAATCATATACAGATAAACCTAATCAGCACCTTGGCATGTGCACAACTTTCCTTACAGTGAACCTTGACCAGGAATCAGGAAATAAGCTCTACCCCCGATACATATTTAATACTTCATTCCCATGCAATCCACACTCCAGTGTGAATGATCCTCTGCTCAAATAAGGAAAGGTGTAGCGTAACTGCATGCCAAAACTTATTATGATCCTAATACAGAATGGAGAAAATGGGAAAACATGACATTTTATAACTTATTTATGTAAGAAATATCAAAATATGTAACATGATTTACTAAAAGGTATTAGAACGACTCTAATATATTCCTATTAAAATTAAAGAATTACCTCACTCTTGGAGAATGTTAAACATGGGAAGATATCTTCCTGATAGATTTTGTCTAAGAAAGGACATGTTCTGTCCATTGTGGGCTCATCCTTCCAAGATCTGAATTCATTATACAGAGATAAGTCAGCCTGACAAACCGAAAGAAAACACAAAGTAACCTTTTTAGAAGTACAAACACAAAATCACTTCATAAAACCAAAACCTAGTTCAAACATCACTGAAAATGAACTGAAACATTCTTAACTAGTTATAACAAATGGTAGCAACTTTCTTTTTAAAAACTCCAAGCTCGCAAATGATTAAATGTTTATTTTTAATGCATCCACTAGAGTGTCAATGACGTCTCCATTATCCCCCCAGCCCCCACTCCCACCCCACAAAAATAATGTCAGGACTCCTCTTCAAGACCCATGTGCACACTGATCTGAATTTTTAAAAAATGATGACAAGTCTTTTCTGAAAATAATCAAAAAGTAATTTGGAGCCTAGTTAATTAGTAAAACATTACTGACTAAACTGAGACCTAATTTCAGTCAAAAATGACGCTAATTGTTCTGCTATTACCTGAAGTCATTTCCAAAAGAATTTCCGAAATGCTTACTGTATAAACAGCAAGACTAAAAGAAGCACATGCATAGCCTTCTAAACTATCTTCAAATAGAACATTTATTTAGATACGTTTTGGCATATCAACGTCCAGTAAGTACTACCTGAATTACCAACAATAATCCAAGCTGGCGCCTGAATTTCTATTCACTCTTTCAGTTGATCCTCTTTTTCCTTCTTCCCTTCAATAAATTTTCTCTACTTATTCTTCCCTACAGATTCCCTCAGTCCAGCTCAACACTACCCATGGACACACAAAACTGCACCTACTCCCAGTCACCCAGACACACCAGTGTCCTCATCCCCCTGCAGCTCTAAGCATCTCTTGTCCAGAAGCACTGGATACACTACAGGTGACACACTGACTATAGCTGCGGCCTCTAGGACAACTTAATCAGTCCTCATGAAAGTAACAAAAGGCTGAGTGTATTCAAGCTTTCCTACAGATTTTCTTTTACAGTATATAATGGCAATCTCAGTGTGGATTTTTTTTAATCCCAATCCACAAATTCTTTGAATCAAAGTTAAAGGCAAAAGAATTTTAAAAATTAGCAGATAAGTAATATTTACATTTTTCAAATTCATTTTCTTTGTAAAGTTTACCCTTTAATGGACATAAATGCCAAAGTACTAAGTGGTTTCTAAGGCAAATTTCTAGTTGAAAGGCAATAATTTAAACTATTAAGAGCTGACTCTGTGCCCGGGAACTATGGAAAGTACTTCAAAAACATTTAATCCTCACAGCCATGCAAGATAGTTAGGACCTCCATTTTATAGATAAAGAAACTAAGGCTCATAAAATAAGTTGCCCAATGTTACAGAACAAGAAACCAGTAAAAGTTCAAATTCACATCTACATGACTTGATCACAAAGCCTTGTGCATGCACACAGGTGTGTTACAGATGCTTTCAGAACACAGGTTGCAAATGCCATGACAATGCCCCTATCACATTTCCTACAGAAGCACAGACATGTTTCAATATCTTCCCAAGTGTTATATCATCTTTTCTAAGATTTACACTGGTCAAATTCATGTGTTTCCTTTGTCTAATAAAAGTTTTTGACAATTTTTTTCATAAAATGTTAGAATACAGGCTATATATAGGGAGCAAAAGTTATTACTGTGAAATTATGTAAGCCTATTCATATTTATTAGGCATTTTTATCAACTAAAAACAAAACTTTATAATGCTCCTTGAGGAAACATTTAAATTTTATTAACATACACACCACGGAAAAAAAGGTATGTAATTACACACTGAGAAACTGAAGCAAAAATACAAGTTGTACCAAGCAATTAAAAATGCTATCTACTATATTCAAAGAAATTAGAATTAAAGTTATGGCTTTAAAAAGTTTCTTAAATACTTAACAAAACCAGTGTGAATTTTAGATTTGTCACATTCAGATTTGACCAAGTATTGAACTTCTCTCTCACTAGCATCTTTTTTATAGTAACCAAACAAAATGCAATTTAATTAAAGTAACAACCTTGGTTATTCAGTTTAATAAGCTCCTGGCTTCCATGCAAAAACTTAAGTGAACAAGCACACACAGCTTCTTAAAGATTAATGATGAACTTGAATTAAAAAATGTTACAATACAGCTTTTAAGAAAAAATGGGGGAAGGCTGCTCCATGAGATTGGTCAATCCCGTTGGAAATGCTTTTGCATTAAATGTAATATATAAAAAAGTATTTTACATAATATTTCATGTAATTTTTTACTCAAAAAGCTCAAAATATCTCCACGTAATCTATATGACAGATCTTTTAAAAATAATAAGGCTACCAAAGCTGAAGGAACAAAACAGCAGCAGACTCACAGACTCCAAGAAGGGACTAGTGGTTACCAAAGGGGAGGGGTGGGGGAGGGTGGGTGGTGAGGGAGAGTGAAGGGGATTAAGGGGTATTATGATTAGTACACATGGTGTGGGGGGTCACGGGGAAGACAGTGTAGCACAGAGAAGATAAGTAGTGACTCTGTGGCATCTTACTACACTGATGGACAGTGACTGCAATGGGGTATCGGGGAGACTTGATAATATGGGTGAATGTAGTAACCACAATGTTTTTAATGTAAAACCTTCATAAGAGTGTATATCAATGATACCTTAATAAAAAAAATAAAGAAAATAAAGAAATAATTAAAATAGTAAGGCTACTACTAGCTCTATTTTCTGTTACTTAATTATCTAAATTAACCCTAGGACTCCCTTACTAATATAAAATGTTACTTCTCCCAGAATTAACTCAATGCAGTGCACTGTTCTTTAATCTTCACACATTTCTGATATTCACATTTTTCTGGAGCACCCTAGCAATAAATTTCGACTAGTTAGATCATTAAAGCCAGCCCTCTCCTTGATACAACACATGACAGTTTGCTCCTTAAATGAAATACCAAGATTAAGAAACTTACCAAGTTTCCAGCAGGTACTCCAAGGTCAGCAGGGAGAGAATGAACTGCAGAATCCCTGAAAGCAGCCACCTCTAGATACAGCCTCCCCCATCTTAATATTGCAGTTTGTACTAAAAATTTTGCTGGCAAAAATCATAACTGACACGTCAGTGATGAGAATTAATAAGCATCAACAGAGTCAGAGGGGACAGTCCTTCACGAGTTACCTCTTTGCAGTCTTTTACAATTGGCTGAATCACACTGAGGTCCTGATGACTGCCACTCATGGCACTGCTTGTGCTTTTATTTCTTGCATGCCCCTTTTTAAAAGGTGTCTTTCCACTTGGCAGAGGCTCTTGGGTAGGTGATGTTGGAGAGCTGGACAACACCAGTGTCTTCAGTGCAGCTACTTCAGCCTGAAGTACATCAATCTTGAAAAGAAATCAGCACAGATGCATACACTGAATACATTTCAAGACAGATGCTGCAAAATGCTAGCAATTTGGTAGAAACACTTGCCTTTCAAAGATGAAATCTAAGTTTAATTTGCATTCCCTATAGAGTAACAAAAGGGAAGGGAAACCAAGTTTTTGGATGTTTCCATATGATGTGGATTCCGCTGCTCTTGACCATGTCAAATGAAATTTAAGTTATCAAAATGTCTAAGAGTCAATTTATGTGAATTTTTTAAATCTTCAAAATATCATAGCTTATGATTAGTTGTGGTTCATTCCTGAAACAGTAAAATCTAAAAATATTTTGGTGGGCTTTTTTCAGTAAAGTAAATATTAACTTTAAAATGTGATTATGTAATCCATATGATTCACATGGGAGTTACATGTGATTCATAATAATAGATGTGATTCACAAGCCTTCAAATATTTGGTTTTAATATAAATGGACACCAAATGCTCACTATTAATTTATCTATGCAGTAGCTACTTTCTAGTTTGTAGTTTCCAAATCTTATAAAGTAAGCACTACTTTTGCAATCAGAACAGAATCCAATAAATGTTTAAGTATCTGGAAAATACTAATCACAGTATCTTTTCACTTTACACCATTAAAGCAGCAAAACTTACTTTTCCTTGTGCTTCTTTCAGCTGCTTTTCTGCTGTTGCCTGCTTGACATTTGCTTCTCTCACCATCTTATGAGCTTCCTGAAAAAATTAAAATCTCAAATTTTGGAGACAAATTTTTCAATATTTGTTTTCAAAAATCTTTCAAAAAGCGGCTATGCTTGCATCAAATTTTTCCAAAATTTAGCCTCAAAATAGCATTCAGTGTCAGCTACTGAAAAAGCAGGTGTAATCAGATACACAAACTAGTGGGAATTAGGAACAAGGACCTTCTTCCAGAACTAAGACCACTGAGGCAGCCACGTTGAGTTCAATAGCTCTGACTGATGCTTGGGTGAAGACTGTGAATGTGAGGAAGGAACATATATGGCCCTCGTGTCAGACCTAACCCTTCTGCAGTTAGACTGCTGTAATTTGGTCACAATGTATACATTCATATTGTTAGTCACAGCAAAGATATACAGAGGGAACGAGTAAAAAAAATTAATGCAACAATAAAGTAGTAGTTGATAGGAGGAACAGCTGAGCAGCCTTAGGGCTTCCAATTAAAAAAAGATATTAATTGACACTTTTGTCACTGAAAAGCAATCTAAAAGGGTAAATCAGAGACTGCCCTAAATAAGGTCTTAATTTTTCAGTATCACAAATTTGAAATTCTCAATATTTAATTCCTTTTTTCAGATAATATTTATCAAACATTTACTTGTGACATCTCTGTGAGGTACTGTTCCAGGTGCTATACTGGGAAAAGAGACAACATCCCTGCTCTTAAGTAGCTTACATTCTATTTACATTCTAATAATAAATAAAATATCTAAGTAAGAATTCTGGATTTTATTCTAGGTGTAATATGAAGCCTTATCATTTTTTAAGGAAGATTGCATTCATTCCCATGCATGCATTCGCTTTTCTAGTACTATAATGAATTGCAGTTTCTGTGCCAATGAACATGAAATTACAGATGACGTTGGTTTAAGTAAGAGAAGCTTTACTATATCAAGGCTTTCTAATGAGAGGTGATTGACTGTGAAAATCATCCATGCACAATCATGCTGGTCACCTTGTACCAAAGTCCTCAAGAGCAGTCAAATTTAATAAGTAGGATAGCATTTTTCCTTTAAAAATAACAATTATTTCAGATTTGCTGAATTTTTCTGTGATAAGTGGCTGTCAAGAGACTATTTGAAAAGCAGATATTTTCAAAATAGCAAATATATCCAATGTAGCCTTTCAAGATAAGTGACATTTTAACTATAAACTCATGCTATGGAGAGATTTAAGTGTTCAGAAATGGTCTCTGCTTTCCTTAAGAGTGAACTATGCAATTTGGACCATACCTCTTATGGAGAACAATTAGAAAAGGAGGGAAAGTTTTTAAAAATGTGCTTAAAGGTATTAGAGAACTAACAAAACAGTGAAGAATTAGGTGACCAAGATCCAGGAGAGAAAGTAAACTCAGAAAAATGACCTGGAATTTTGGGTGTATAAGGGATACAGTGAAAAGGAATAACATACATGTAATTGGAGTCCCAAAAGGGAAGGAAAGAGCTAGAATGAGGCAGAAGCAGTATCTAAAAAGATAATGCCCAAGATTTGCAAATTGACAGATACATCAAAATACAGATTTTTTAAAAGCTTGAAAATTGTTCTATCACTTTCACTCTGAAGCTGAAAATGGTGTATCCTTTTAACCAGGAGTCAGCAGATTTTCTGAAGGGCCACAGCATAAACAGTTTTGGCTTTCTAAATCAGAGAGCGTCTGCTGCAAGTAGTCAACTCTGCTGTTGCAGTGTGAAGGCAGCCACAGACAACATACAAATGAGTGTTCATTTCAGTAAAAATTTAGTCATATATCATAAATATTCTTCTTTTGATTTTGTCCCCCAACCATTTAAAATGTAAAAACCAATCTTAGCCTACAAAGTTGTACAAAAGTAGAGATAGACTATTTTTGCTCTACAGGCTGTAGTTTGCAGACCTTTTATCAATACAAACATTTATGACTATACACTTACAAACATTGAAAACAGAATGTATTCCTATCTGCTTAGCAGTGATTCAAATGAAGAAGGTCCTTTTTCTCTTTGTTTGAAATAATGTTTAAATTCAACATCTTCTGGTTAATTTACAAACAAAGTTTGCTGGTATTAGAAGACATAAATTAGAGAATTTTCTGGAAGAACTGTCACATAACAGGCAATGGAACTGAAAATTTAGTTAACAGCTTAATACAGGGAAAGATGTACTTCTTCCATTTGGATCAATATATCTGTGAGTTATGTGCAGCAATGTATCTAATTTAAAAAACAGAATCTGAACAGTAAATTGTCAAAACAAGATTTTAAAGAATAAGGTAACATCAATCATATTCTTCTCACTAAAAATAAAAACACACACATGGTATTTTAGAGTAAATAAAATATTTTTGTATTTAAAAAATTTTTCAGCATTTCTATTATCATCCCACTCCTTTTAAAGCCTTTTTGTTTTATGATTTACATAAGACATCATGTATATGTTAGTATATATAATTTATAAGTAAGTATATATACTCTTGGAACAGGTCGAGCACATAGGGAACTCCCACTAATACCTTCATCATAATGAAAGGTACATGCCCAAATTTTTCTTTTACAGAAAGAGTACATGATCAGAAAGTTTGGTATCTATTGGTCTATGTAAGAAATGATGGTGGCTTGTAAGACGGTGTTAGCAATATGAAAGCAGAAAGGCAGATGAACTTGCCTTATGTTCTGGAGGTAGTGTCACAGACTTTACAGTCTGAATGTGCGATGAAGTAAACAGAAGCCTCAGTGATGGCTCATTACCTGTGGCTTAAGACAAACGGAAGAGCCATTTATGATTTTCATAGTACTTAAAGAAAGGATCAGGGTCATGAGTCCCAGCATTGTTCCTTAGCTTTTTATGCCTCATTTTCTTCATAGATAAAATGACAATAATTGGCCCCATATATGCCTCATAACACTGTGGAGATAAAACTAGGCATATCATATGTATTTACTAAAGCTGGCTGACAAAATATTTTATATTTTATATATATAAAACTTCAGAGTTATTGTAAATATTTGATACTGTTTGACTCGGCCTTGCTACAAAGCATAATTATATTCAAGATTATTCATCATACACTAATAAACTCCTTATTTGAATTTATATGTTGTTTATCAAAACTATAAATTGAGTTTATTCAGAATAACCTTAATTCTTGAGAAACTATGCACACATATACATAAAAAGCAAGCAAAAAGAATCTTTTCATAAGACAACGGTAAACTGAGAACATGAAGACACAATTAAGACCACAGAAAAACTTAACACTTTTTTTCAAAATCCATGAAATGGTTTGAATATAACTTTCTTCTACAGTGGTATCATCTTGAACCAATGTAGATTCTTTCCCAGAAAGTATACCTAGTGTCAAGGCGATCAGCCATTGCTAGGTCAGAGAGAGATTAGGGAGGGACCCCAAAGCTACGTTTTTTAGATACGTTTTTTCACAAACTGCATTTCTGGTACTTCACATCCTGCAGTAGCAAGGGAAAAGTCCCTTTCCGTTTGCTCTCGTCCTGCTTCATCTACAAAATATACGTAAGTGCAGGTAAGTGGAACTAAGCAGGGCTAAAATTAAGGGCAGACAGGTAGGAAAACAAACCATAAGAAGCATATTTGCTTTCTTATTTCCATGTATTGGCGTAAAATCTTCTTCTTAATGGACAGTAATGGAAAAATCTTATTTCTGTATACCCCTTCTACATATAAAAACATAACAAGTCATCTATAGCGCCCGTTCAATATCATTAATCTCCCACTCTTCGCATCCTTAAGTTTATCATTGTCCTCTCTGATGACTAACAAAAATAATGATTAGTTTTCAAATGTTTCCAAAATAAATAACCCCAAAAAAGAAGAGAGAGCAAGGAACAGCGGGACACAGAAAGGCCATACATCTAAAAATATCCACTACAATGTTACTTTAATGATAAAAAAGGTAGCAAATAGAGTTGACAGACTATGACTATAATTACACTATGTGGTAATAAGAAAAGAGGTTATTTGAAGAAAAATTACAAAATATATTAGGATTACAACTATGCAAGAAAATAAGCATACCTTTAAAATTAGATATTGCAAAAATAAAAGTAACAAAATGTAAAGGAATTTTTCCTTTAAAATCTTTAACTGCAAAGTTTTAAGAACAAACTTTTAGAGAATAAAAGAACTATTGCTACGTGATAATGGCATTGGTCATCCCAGTAACACATCAACCATTTTGATAAGGAACTTCCAAAAGCTCAAGGTCTTAACCCAAAAGGCAATGTTCTTAGTAAAAGAAGTACTTTCTTCTTCCCATACCTCAGGGATACTTGTAAGTCATCAAAAAGATCAAGGAGTAGTATGTCCTTCTGGGGACAAAGATAACCAATGATGGTTAATTTTCTGTGTCAATCTGATTGGGCCAGTGGGTGCCCAGATATTTGGTCAAACATTATTCTGGGTATTTCTGTGAGGGTGTTACTGGATGAGATTAACCATTAACGTGAATTAACATTGAGACTGAGTAAAGCAGACTGCTTTCCACAATGTGACTGGGCATAACCCAATCAATCAGCTGAAGGCCTGAATAGAATGCAAAGCCCGATCCCCATGGCTTAAGAATTCTTCCTACTTGCACTGAAACATCTGCTCTTCCTGGGTCCCAAGCCTAGAACTGCATGATCAGTTCTCCTAGTTCTAGGCCTTTAGACCTGAATAGTAACTATACCAACTCTCTTGGGTTTCCAGCCTTCCCACTCACTCTAGACTGGGCCAGCCACCATAATCACATGAACCAATTCCTTGTACAAGTCACTTTTTCTATATATGTGTGTGTTTGTATATACACACATCTTAATGGTTCTGTTTCCCTGGAGAACACTGACTAGTGCACCAAGGATGCTAAATGTCAATGCCAATGGCACCCCAACTGAGGAAAACTGTTTGAGATGGGTAGAAATTTGGGTCCTGGTGTCAGGCTGGAAACAAAGAGGTGAGCCTTCTAGCAAGGAGATGTGCCTTCTAACATTCCTCAAACCATCTCCTATCCGATGACTAACTCAAGGGTTTGCCACCTTTGTTATGAAGTCATATAAAAGTTACTCTAAAGTAGCCCCTATATATTGAGCAAAATCAAAATTAAAATTTACCTGTTTTCTTTCCAAATATGCATTTTTAAAACAACCTGTTACTAAAAGCACACAGTTACTTCTTTTCACTTCATTTTAAAAGTTGTAGACTCCACATTTCTTAAAGATTTAGTTTTTCTTGCAGGACTTACAAATGTGCACAAAACTAAGCATATATTTTTCAAGATTCCATAAAAAATAATTCTATCAGTATATAAAAATCAAGACATTGCTCTTGGCCAAGATGTAAATAGACCAACCTCAAACAGACTAGCTGTGAGTTCCTCCAATTCCTGTCCAAGTTGATCTCGTACTTTAGAAAGCCTCTCACACTCTTCATCTTTTAACTTCAGTTCCTATGAGAAATTGTTCATTTTATTTTGGATTTCCATAATTTTAAGTTAGATTCAGCAGACTATGTAATCTTTACTAATAAAATTACAAAATACTAACACCACCCCCTCCTATAATGTTCACACTGAAAATGTTTATTTAGCACTTGCTGTGTGGGAAATAATCAGGCAAATACAGAATTACAAATAATTCGAACTCACATATTAAATGTCCATGTTTCTTTCATAAAACATTCAAAGATTGAATGTGATTATATTTTACATGTGAAAATAAACAATAAATGACTTTATGCTTTTTCCCTTCTCTCTGAACATATTTATTTCCATCAAGCAAGAGTTTCTTCAATTAAGCATATTCATTTCAATAAAATGAGTTGGTTTTTTCATTTTACTTAGAAAACTATGTACTTACAGATAACTTTATGTATCATATGGCCATTAGTCTAAAATTTCCACGAGACCACACCCATTCATATTCTAGCTAGAGGCAAATGATGCATATGTGCATTTTAACTCAAGAAATTTGTTAATGACAAAGTCACACCAATTATACATGACTCCTCAAAAGGTCACAAGTAGATGTTTAAAAAAATTAATCTTTCAAATTTAGGGATCAAAAAGCCCAAGCTCCACATATATTGGGCACAATTACACTAATAAAACAATGGGTGGTCGTGTTATAATTGTGGTGGCAGCATAGCTTTTGAATCCTCCAAGGACAACTCTTGAAAACCAAATATACCCCCTGGGACGTCAGAAGAACACAAAACTGTATCTTCAACAAACTAGGTAAGAGAATCCCCATGTATTTTAGACTGTAAGAGAATGTGGCTACATTGCCAACACCACAGATCAGCAGCTGTGCAGAAAGAAGAGGACTATAGGGGTACCTCTAGAGCCTCAATACCCAAAAAATCATCACTAAAATCCCAAAGGAGAGAACTCTACCCTTGGTGGAAACTGGGAGAACAAATCTGAGAACAAATGGAGAAAACTGAAAGGTTTTCACAGACTCAAAGCTGCAGGAAGTGCAAAAGCCTACTTGCAGTCCTAGGATAGCAAACAGCACTGTAAAGCTCTAGCTGCTCAGGAACCGCAGAGCATCCAGCAAAGGTCCTTCCAGGACAGAGCCCACTCTAATGGAAACTTCTTGGAATCTGAAAACAAACTGCAGGACAGGAATAATGAAGGGAGAGAGAGAGAAGGTTCAGATATTAAAAGAAGAAGGTGATGGCAAGTTTCCAAAGGAAACACATAGAAACATATAAGAAAAAAAAATCTTAGATATAATATTAAGCCACTAAGGCTTGAAAAGACACTGGCTACATGATAAAACCTTCTTGAACAAGGCTTATCTCTGTGAAGCAGCTGTGGCTACACAGATATGCCAATAACAAAGGGGAAAGCATTTGAACATAAAACTGAAAAAGCTACCCTGTTTTAACCTATTCCTTTACAGGAACCTCGTTCCAATAGTACAGGGAAATCCAACTCATTTAAACATGAAAAGCAAACAAAAATATGTTAACTTTCCATAATAATAAAAAAAGCCAAGTCACCTATAAGGAAAATAAAATGGGATTCATATTAAACACAAACAGCATTTTATGCTAAAAAAAAAAAAAGGCAACAGAGTAACATTTTTAAGACACTCAAGGGAAAAAAATGGGAGATGAGGATTTTATATCCAGCCAAAGTGTCCTTCAAGTGTTAAGGCTGGAGACAAAGAGTTACAAACCTATAAAACTTTAAAGACTCTCTCTTCCATGAGTTTGCCTGAATGATCAAGTGGAAATTTGTTTCAGATAATCAAGAAAAAAACTGAAGAAGCTTTAACATTAAGGACTAGGAGTGAGAAACAAATATATTTAACTGTAGAACTATGAATAAAAGATGGAGATATCAAAAGAATGAAAAGACAAACCACAGACTGAAAGAAAATATTAGTAAGACATCTGATAAAGGATTGTTATAAAAAATATACAAAGTATTCTTAAAACTCAACAGCAATAAAACAAACAACCTGATGAAGAAATAGGCGAAAGACTGAACAGACACCTCATCAAAGAAGATAACCAGAGGGCAAAAAAGCATATGAAAATATGTACCATATTGTATGTCATCAGTAAAATGCAAAACAACATAAAACATACAAACATAAAACAATAGCACCAAACTCCTATTAAAACAACCAAAATCCAGAACAAATGCTGGCAAGGATGTGGAGCAAAAGGAACTCTCATACACTGTTGGAAAGAATACAAAATTGTACAACCACTTTGGAAGACATTTTGCCAGTTTTTATAAAACTAAACATACTCTTAACCTAGAATCCAACAATCACACTCCTTAGTATTTAACCAAAGAAGATGAAAACTTATATCTACACAAAAACCTGTACACAGACGATTATACATTCATAATTGCCAAAACTTGGAAAGAATCAAAATGCCCTTCAGTAGGTGAAAGGATAAAGAAACTGTGGTATATCCAAATAATGGAATTTTACTTGGCACTAAAAGGAAAAGACGTGGAGGAAAAGAAATACTTATTAATGAATAAGAGAATCCAATTTAAATGGCTACATACTGTATGATTCCAACTATAGGACATTCTGACAAAGGCAAAACTATTGAGACAGTTAAAAGATCAGTGGATGCCAGGGTTTATCGGGTAGGGAGGGATGAACAGGTGGTGCATAGAGGATTTTTAGGACAGTGAATAGTTGCACTGGATGATACTATAATGGTAGATATATGTAATTACATGTTTGCCAAAACTTACAAAATATACACCACCAAGAGAACTAATGTTCTCTGGACTTTGGAGGACAGTGATGTGTCAATGTAGTTTCTTAAATTTTAACGAATGTACCAATCTGGAGCAGAATGCTGTTGACAATGGAGAGGCTCTGGGGGTGTGGGGAGAGGGGCTGTTTGGGAACTCTGGACTTCTTTCTCAATTTTACTGTGAGCCTAAAACTGCTCCAAAAAATAAAAGTCTCTTTTTTTAAATGAGAATAAAGCTGACAAAATAGTTATATAGATATTATAAGCTTTAGAAATATAAAACCAACACACATACACAAATAGGAGAAAGATGAAACTAAATTCACAAATTTCCTAGATACTAATGGGGAGTAAAGGGATACAACTTGAAGCTCACAAATCAAATATATAAACCTAAATATATTTAAGAGCATTGAGATTAACATTAAGATAATACTTTAACTAAAATTAAATGGTACAAAAGAAAAAACATACTAAATAACTTTAGTATTACTTACAGTAGAGAACAAGGGCAGTATCAAAAGAAGGGCTAAGAGACACAAATATCTTCAATTACAGGTAACTAGAATGGAAATCAAACCTTGCAAAACACCAAAATAGGAAGAAGAAAAAAAAAAAGGACGGCACAGAAAATAGAGCACATAGTGACAATGTTTGTGCATACACACAGTAGACACTTGAAAGCCATGTGACAGATCCAAGCCCAAATATAGCACATTTATCAATAAATGTACATGGTTATAATTCACCTATTAAGATTATTTTCTGATGGGCTAAAAAAGTAAAATCCATTTCTATGCTCTATAGAAGAGACATACCTAAACTAAAGTGATCATATTAAAAATAAAAGGATGGGCAGAAAACATACTAAAAAATATAGTACAGATGAAAATAATATAGGAATCTCAATTTTGATATCAGATTAGGCAGAATACAGGGCAAAAGTCACTAAGAACAAAAGGCAACTTCATAATGCTACAGGCTACAATGCAAAATGAAAATGTAAAATACTGCCAAATACAAAAATAAAAAAACAGATATAAACAAAAAGGAATAAGGATATACCATGTTCTTGGACAGAGATACAAAGATGCCAGTTTTCCCTGAGTTAATTTATAAATCTATAAATGTACTAAACTTTGCCAGATTCTTTCAAACTCTAAAATTTCACTGCTTTGTAATTATATATGAAAAGTAAGCAATTCATTCAATATTTCCTACTAGGTAGTCACTATGGTAATCCATTAGGATACAAAACCAGTAAGACACTGCTCCTTGAGAAGCTCCCAATCCATTTGAGCAATACATACATCACTCATGAAGGCAAAATTCTTGACTAGCTACCTACCATCTACTAAAGTGGCATAAACCTCACCCTAATACTAAAGATCCTCTATAACATGCATTGTTTCCCTTTTTAGAGTTATCTCCCCTGATCCATAATTCTAAAGTTTGAGTTAAATTGGTCTGATTCCATCCATCTGAACTAGCCCTTTCTCCATAAATGTCTGAGTACTTTCTCTTCATGCTTTGAACACAATCTACCAATATGGAGACAAACTTGTGTACATATGAACACTTTTTAGAATCTAATTTGCACTTTTCATTATCACAACCGTGTGTACTGTAATAAGTTATTCAAAATTCATTCCTTTAACAAACACTCATTTTTGTTCATTAGATGCTAATTTTCCTGTTAGCATCAGGCATTCATCTAGGTGATGACACAGAAGAGGCCCAGTCAATGATTTTCACAGTTACAGCCAGTAGAGGGCAGCAAATCTTCAAACAGATTCACAAGGTAATTGGATAAGGGCAATAGTAGTGATTTTACATACTAAAAAAAGCAAGAGCTTGACAAATATAAAGGAACAAAACAGTATGTTTTATGATAGTTGAAGATGGCGAGGGATGTATGCCACCAGAAGATAATGCCATTCCTGAAAAGCCTTGGCTAAGACACTGGCACTTCCTTTAAAGACAAGGGGAAACTATTTCAAAGGCAAAGGGAGTCATTCAAGGATTTAAAATAGGATAGTGATGATCAGATTTGCAATTCAAAATGGTAACTTGGACAGTGTGACTAGGTTAAAAAATAAAAAAAGATTAGAGACAAAGAAAATAGTCACTACTGCAATCCTTTATGCAAGAGAGAACAGATTTAGAGTGGTAGTACTGGAGAGATGTTTGAGAGTGATGTAAAACACAGACTAT